TGTGTGTGTGTGTGTGTGTGTGCTGGCAAGACCAAAGAGCTGTCAAAGGACACCAGAAACAAAATTGTGGACCTGCACCAGGCTGGGAAGACTTAATCTGCAATAGGTAAGCAGCTTGGTGTGAAGAAATCAATGTGGGAGCAATTATAGAAGAGACATACAAGACCACTGATAATCTCCCTCGATCTGAGGCTCCACGCAAGATCTCACCCCGTGGGGTCAAAATGATCACAACCATCAGTAACACACTACGCCGCCAGGGACTCAAATCCTGCAGTGCCAGACGTGTCCCCATGCTTAAGCCAGTACATGTCCAGGCCCGTCTGAAGTTTGCTAGAGAGCATTTAGATGTTCCAGAAGAGGATTGGGAGAAAGTCATATGGTCAAAATAGCGTGTTTGGAGGAGAAAGAATGCTGAGTTGCATCCAAAGAACACCATACCTACTGTGAAACATGGGGGTGGAAACATCATGCTTTGGGGCTGTTTTTCTGCAAAGGGACCAGGACGACTGATCCGTGCAAAGGAAAGAATGAATGTATCGTGAGATTTTGAGTGACAACCTCCTTCCATCAGCAAGGGCATTGAAGATGAAACGTGGCTGGGTCTTTCAGCATGACAATGATCCCAAACACACCGCCCGGGCAACGAAGGAGTGGCTTCGTAAGAAGCATTTCAAGGTCCTGGAGTGGCCTAGCCAGTCTCCAGATCTCAACCAGATCGAAAGTCTTTGGAGGGAGTTGAAAGTCCCTGTTGCCCAGCGACAGCCCAAAAACATCACTGCTCTAGAGGAGATCTGCATGGAGGAATGGGCCAAAATGTGTGTGAAAACCTTGTGAAGACTTACAGAAAACGTTTGACCTCTGTCATTGCCAACAAAGGGTATATAACAAAGTATTGAGATTAACTTTTGTTATTGACCAAATATTTATTTTCCACCATAATTTGCAAATAAATTCTTTAAAAATCTTTTTTTTTCATTTTGTCTCTCATAGTTGAGGTATACCTAGGATGAAAATTACAGGCCTCTCTCATCTTTTTAAGTGGGAGAACTTGCACAATTGGTGGCTGACTAAATACTTTTTTGCCCCACTGTATATGTGACAATTTATAAACATGACTACATACTTTAAACTTACCTGCTATAATAATCTCAGAAAATGTAGGTATGATTATAAAGTTACTGTCCAAATAAAGTGTTACCATTATTTATTCCTTAGTTTACAAGATAGTAGGATAAGTATTTATTTACATTTGACTTCATCTGCCAAAAGGAAGAGCTATCCGTCACCGTGGCGACTATTCCTCCATCGTGCTGTGTGACAGACGTTACGCTCGACCTGCGACGCTCTCTAAACTCCCAGAGTGGATCAAAGAGCGCACCAGCACACACACCACCTTTGGCCCTGCTTTTGCTGCCTTACGGAAGGTGAGGGCAAGTGTCCGCTCTCAAACAACTTTATCGTGACTCAAACATATTCCAATGTTGTCTTTGTATATTCTTCTTTCCTAGTTCTTCCTGGAGAAGAAGCAGAAGCAGGTGTAGTGTCACCTACAGACAGCTTAGACGTTTCCAAAGACCGAGGTTAGGAGGAACTCCCGGGAAACCCAGTGTAACAGCAAGCGGTCACTGAGCGAATGAAATGTTCTAATAAAACAATATTGAGAGAAAATAAGGGACCCTCTTTGATAAGTTGCGTAACAAAATATGTTGTTGTTGCTAACAGCTTGAGGCCATCAGACCTCTGAATGCTCCTGGCTTGAATTCAAAGGTCAACCAGGAAGACAGTTTGATCCAACTTGATTTATTTTACGTTTCATATCCTATCAATTTCTTGTGCTCTGTCTTGGCTAGCTCATGTCTCTGCTTTAGAGAAATTACGACCATTTCGAGAAGGATGAATACAAGTATATGATGGCACACTGTAGACAAAGAGACATTTATCATACGACTCGGGTAATTAAGTCGTTCAATGTCTTGAATTCAGCCTTGAATATTTAAAGCGTTCGATGTTAAATGTTACTCAACGCAGAAATTACGTTTATTAAAGGTTGAGATGTTAGTAAAAAGGTTCGATGATTTGAGTGAGTGTTATAATAATATTTGCTTGTGAATTATGTGTTACAATGAATATGATTATCAATAAGTTGTTTTTATTTGCTTTCAGATATTGTTTTGTTTACTCTTGAAAAATATATTAATAATTTAAAGGAAATGTTTAGTTACGTTAATTTAATGTTAAGGTGTTGATGAAATGGTTCGATGAATTTAAAAGCATTCTTTTATCTCCTTTTTAATGTTATGAAAATATTTTACAATGAACATTATCAATAAACTGCTTTATTATTGGAGTTTTAGTCGTTTTAGTTTGTTTTCCATGGACAAATCAATGCACTTATCGTTATGAAGCCAATTATTGGCCATTTACACTAAAAGCTTCTGTTAGCATCACAACTTTTTTGTATAATAGGTGATGTAGGAACATGTAAGACCTTTGAATAGAACAAATTATTCAGGACTATCAAATGCTTTCATTATCAGTGTTCATTGTCCTTCAGGTTATGCTTCCCAGTCATCATCATCTGTGGTAGCATGTGGGGAAGGAAGTGGTGGGATGACATCTGACATCCTGGCAAAAGCACCCCCGGCCCCAGCGGGCGCGTCGCTCGACTCCCCCCCCGCTGGCCCCTTCCCAGAGATACCTTCAGAGGGAACAGGACACATTATTGACTGCATGCCGCTCCACCCACCTGTCCCAGTATTATCCCATATGTCATTCTAAGCCTGGGATCCTTACCTTTCCTTCGCATGGCAAGTTTGTTGAAGAGATCCGACATAAAGTCTCCACCACTAGATGCCGCTGCCACCGCTGTGAGACAAAGACAGCCAGTTACTAAATAATCATACAATCAGTATTTCTTTTAAATCATTATTTGGAAAATAAAATAATAATAAATAAATAATTTATTATTATAATAAATTCCCCAGTGCTGCACTTCAAAGTGGAGGACATGATTAAAGCAGGACTTGTTATCTACTTAATCGGTATAAGCAGCTCTCTAAATATGAAATGTTAGGTCATAACCTGGCCAAGATATGCAGACAATTTAAAATATGACTGTAACCATCTTAGCCTTTTAATGAGGTTACCATTTAAAAAGTCAAGGTCGCAAAGCAATGGACCGTGTCATCATAACCTTGTGAGATAAAAACAGAAACTCTGCCATGCTCAGTGCTCTGTGATGCATTGTGTAAACTCATGGTTGAATGCTAACTAGCGCCTGGTCACGTTGTGCTTTGATTGCATGACTTTCTCATCATTGTTAGAGCTGTATCATGTAGCAGTAAATAAAACATGAGCAGAACCCCATCCCCACTCAAACAATCAGACACCTTGCTCTTGCTCCTTCTGTTTCTTCTTCTCCATCTTGCGCTCTTTAATGTCTCGTAACTTGGCTTTGCCAATGCCTCCGGCGTTGCGGATGGATTCGAGGAGATTTGCACGTCCGTCTGGCGGCTCGACCACCTTGGAGGGAGTACCGGCCACAGGGCCTGCAGCTAGAGGAGACAGGAGGGGGGGCGGGATCTGGGTTTATGCCACTTAATGTCAAAGATAATACAAAGTAGGAGATTGAATAGGGAGTCTGTGTGAGTGTGTAAGCGAGGACTGGAGGCAAACCTGAACTTGACGTCCGAGAGGCTTTTGTGGGGCTGTCAACAGGAGGGGGGGGCAGTGGAGGTGGAGGGAGGAGGGGGGAGCTCCTGCAGGAATGGCTGGGGGGCAGGCTCAGGAGGAGGGGGAGGTGGTGGAGGAGGTGGAACATTAGGTTGGAGGTGAAATCCTGGAAGAGAAAGAGAACTAAATCAGCTTTTAAACAGTACACTGTTTGTAAATAGAGTCTAAACCACAGAATGAAGGAGCAGGTTCAACACCCGTCAATCACGTCGGTTAAGTGTGTATCGGGGGGGGAGGGGGAAGCACATAGATTTAAGGCACCTCTTTATAACCGGATTTGAATCAGAAACAGGTTTATTACCAGGTAGGTTGACACGTATGAGGAATTTGACTTGGTGTCGTGGTGCATACACAAAAATAAAAAACACAGATAGAGAACTATTTTAACAAATCTATTATAACATAAAAAAATAATAAAAAATATAGCAGTATTTACATTGAAATAGAATGAAGTAAAATATAACTTTTGATATCTTAAATGTGAGTGCTCCAGTAGATTTTGGACAACGTCTCTGAAGTATTTCACAAAAGTGTGTGTGTGTGTGTGTGTGTGTGTGTGTGTGTGTGTGTGTGTGTGTGTGTGTGTGTGTGTGTGTGTGTGTGTGTGTGTGTGTGTGTGTACCATGTGCGTCGCTCTCCTCAGAGAAGCTGGGCAGATCAGGGATGTTTTGTGTGGGTCCTGACGGGGCAAAGCCTGGCCCCAGGTCTGCGCTGTAGGACAGGTCGTCTGCGATGCCTGGCAGGTCAGGCAGGTAGGACGGCACGTCTATCTCCGGCACCTGGCCCAGGTCTGGCACATAGAAGTAGGACTCTGCCGTCTGTCAAAGAACAAATATAAGTTTAGAGACAACATTTCTTAATTGAATGATTACTAATCTTCATATTAAATGTGTATTTGAGTTGGAGGAACCTGTCTCTCCAGCTGCTGTCCCTCCGTGATGGACAGCGGTGCGTCAAACGGTTTTGCTTCTTTTTCCGTTTCCAGTGTTGTGTGTGTTTTTGTCACTGCTCCCGCCAGAGGATCAAGGAATACATACTTCTTATATCTATAAAAGCACACAAATCCCAAAATGTGAAGAAAAGATTAAACCATAATCTGTGTTTACAGTTAGCATCTGTGTCTGTGTGTGGACTCACAAGTTCTCTGTGGTATTAAAAAGCAACAGGGAGCTGACGGAGGAGATGTTTCGTGGCAGACTGCCCAGGCCCTCTTCTGTCTCATCCTCAGACCTCTTCTTCTTGTTCACACACACTGGGAAATACATCAATTTCTCCTGAAAGGAAGATATGGTGAATGAGAGGCAGATCTGTAACCAAGTATTGAGTATCGCAAATCACAAATGCCAAAGTGCTTCTGCACTCACACGCGCGGGACATTGGTTCTGTGGGATTTTGAATCATGCATTTCTGCACTAGAGAAACATGTCAGAAGTGTTTACGTTTCTCCCTGGTCCCTCTCACATGCACACACAAAAACATAACACTTGCTAGACCAAGCAGAAGAGCAGAAAATATCGCTTTTTTTGTAAGTTTCCAGAGAAGGTAAAGGAAAAACTGTGGTGTTCACTATAAAAAAAATGCAGGAGCATGGGCGAGGCCGGCCACACACGCACACACGCACCACGCACGCAGCCCTCCTCTGCCATGACAACGGACCCGTAAAAAGAATCTGTCCTGGCCTGAAAATGGTCTCCAAAACTGCAAGGCTAAATGCCCATTAAGGCCAATGTAACATTATATTAAGTGGATGTCAATTGGTTGTTTAAATTGGTGTGAAATTGAGACTGACATGGATTTAAGCTTATTAGTAATATGGATACTGCTAATCATGAGATCATGTATGGTTAGTTAGCATAACAACAACATAGTATATCATTTGCCATGTCCATAGAAACACAAAAATGTGAATCATACTTTATAACTGGATTGTGTAATTTGTTTTTGACATTGTATCCAGACCAGGCTTGTGTTAGGCATTCCTGCAAAAGATGGTCATTAAGGCTATTTCTCCATTCATTTGGCCATTAAACTACATCACTGTGGCCTCCACAGTGGACATTGGAAACAGTGCTTATGGATCATCATAAAAAGTGAGTGCCTCGCATTCATATGATAAAGAAAAGACTGGTTGGGGACCAGCTCTTAACTTCTGCACAAATACTGATGGGGTCATGTTTGCCCTACAGTCTACATAAATATGGAGGATTTAAAACTTCCGCTGCAATCCCTCCTTTCCTCGTTTGACCCACGCGAGAGCTGTGTCATTATTCTCAGCAGTAAGATAAAAGCCATGTAAATGGAAATTAATCATGCATCTATTTATCCCTTTTTTGAACCCACAGTTTTAGCAGAGTATAAAGGCCCCATTGCTATTAGGCAAGCACACACTTTCTTGTCTTTTGTATTAGTTATATAACTATGGCGTGTGGGCTTCAGGACATGGGAAGTAGAACCCAGAAACGTAGGTTCTTATAACAAGTAACATTTTGTAATTGTTGGATTAGTGTGGTGTAATTAGCAGTTTAATGAATGTATCTCACCTGCAAAGCCTTCTCATCAAAGGGTCGCAGTTTATTCTGTATCCTGTGTCGAGGGCGAGTTTGTGAGGAGGGGTCTACAGCTTCAATGAAGATAGATGTGTAATCCTGAAGTCGATCTGGGGCCGGGTATTTGGCACTGGAGAAAACCTTTATAAACAAAAAACAGATGATATAAAAAACATACACAGGGCTAATTAATGCTTTCAATGAGCCTTACTTTGTCTCTATCATAGTTGCCATATACACAGAGGCCTGACAGAGTGGGGATGCTGTGTTACCTTGGTGGCCTTCTTGCTGCCTTTGATCTTGTCGACGCGGGCCTGAGCCAGCCTGATCCGGTCAGTGACGCTCTGCAGCTGCCGGCGGTTCCTCTCTACACTGTCTGACACCCTGGAAGCAACACACACATATACCAACATAATTATGGACAAACATACACTGAGGGAATTATGTCGGAGACCATATTACATAATCCAATATAGGGCATAACTTGAGAGTAATCCACAATTCCTTCTTTGCAGGGTGCTGAATCACAATTATTATTTTTGTAAAATGTGCATTTAATGAAGTGCAAGTATTACACAGCTCTTCCTCCATCAATCCTTTAATTACTAACACATCATCTTTAAAAAGGTTATATTGGCAAAACATTTATGGTATTAAATGTCACTCTTTTCATGAGATTACAGGAGACACTTCCTGTATTTTCAAGGTACCAGAAAGGACCATCTGCTAATAAACAGATGCTGTGGCTTAGAATATGGATTTGACTATCAAATTCAAATTACCGCATTTTTCTGTCCTTCAATACTTTCAACAAATGCTACTTTTTGTGATATCGACAACCTTTTTGATTGCTGAGTGAGTGAGTGAGTGATTGAGTGAGCAAGTGAATGAGTGTACCTTTTGAATATATCTGTAGAGATGGTCTCTAAGTAGAGTAATGCATCTGCTATCTGATGGACGGCTTCCTCTCTCCTCAGGTCGGGCTGGATGAGAGGCACTGAGTACACCTGGCCCTCCAGGCAGTGTTTCTGGGTCATCCTAGAGAGAACACAGGAAAAAGGTTTATGATAAAAAACAAGGCTGTGTGCACTGCGAACAGACATACTTTGATCGTGGATTTGGGATGCAATTATGGCATTATTCAAAAAAGTAAAGCCAACATTTGATGTTTCTATGATTATAGAAAAACTGGAAGAGAACTGGGTAATTGTGATAGTCAAAGAGTCAGTCAACTTGTTTACAATGATGGTCAGTTGTAGAATGTTACCAAGTACATTTACTGAAGAACTGTACATAAGTAAGTACAAATTAGAAGTAAATTGATTTCACTACACCTCAGAAGAAAATACTTTTCTACATACTCCACTAAATGTATGCGGCATCCATCCCCTTTCTGTCCAGTGAAACCATGTATCTCCTGTGTTGATTCTGAATGTTTAAGATTAAAGAATAAAGCATTCCTTCATGGATGCAGAATATCCTTCTACTTCTCAAGTTATATTGAAGAAAAAGCATATGCAATCTGGCGCTTTTCCACTGAAAGTTTGGTTTAGAAAGCTAAAAAACTGGCCTGTTTTTCTGCTGATTTGGTTTTGCTTTTGAAAAAGCAGCTGTTAAGTTTTCATCAGACAGTGCTATAACAAACACATGATAATATTATAGACTATGACGCATTGCTGTATATTGAAGTACCCAATGGTAGCCTATATAAAATAAGTTAAAATCGGCCCAACCGTAAACATCTTTATCAATGAAATGCAAAATAAATGCAGCAGTAAATAACCCCAAAACATTTCATATAAAAGTAAAACAATAGAAGGGACGATTTTACTGCACAATTACATATTTTAATTTAAGATAATTTTGCTGATACATCTTTAACTAAAATACGCGTTTGATTGCAGGATTATTTAACTTTCGCATTATGGTATTAGTACTTTCACTCATGATAAGGATCTGAAGACTTCTTCCACAGCTGGTGATGCTTGTTCCAGCCAAACTAACCTGTCATTAGGTTATTTAGCGTGAAATAACTCTCTTCCCGACCTCATCTGACTCTCACATGACCATGCAAGACAACTGCATCAACGTAATAAGGCTCTGAGGATTTGTTTCTTTTTAATTTGTACGTTGGCTCAAAAATATCCCTGGTAGCAGTTTATGGTCAAATCAACAGCTAACAGATAATAAACCCACATTTAGGCTGGTTTAAACAAAGATATTCCACATCATAATAACACAAGCCAGAGGAAAGCCTGTCCATGCTAAAGACAGAGTCGCTTTAAAACACATCACATTTAATGACATGTTATACTGAAAAATGCAGTCGGATGGAAACTTCTGTCTTACCTGACCATGAGTGTTGTTTAAGTGTTTATAGTTACAGATTTAATTTAATAAGAAGCCGTTCGGCTTTCGGTTCTAGCATCCGAGGTACCGTTTGGCAAAACAACGGTCTGTACTTCCGCATTTCTGTGACGTGTCACCTGGTCACCACGCGGAAGTTGCCTTCAGGTTCTCTGAGAAAAGTCTGTTTTCTGAAGCACCTCAACGACTTGAATGATATGAGATGTTGGCTAAAACAAATGTGCTCTTCAGATTTAAGATAAGAGAAACAACTACAACAGCAAAAACAACAAGCCTCAAGAACAAACGAATTATTATTTGATCATACTTTTTATGCGTAACATAAATATAGCTTTAAGCAGTTTAGTCCATAAAGGTTGTGTAGAATTTGAAAAAAAACATACCAAAAAATAAACAAGTAAAGATGTTTTTAACAGTTACCCGGCTCAGAAAAGTACATGTTGAATCCCCCTGTACAGCCTATAGAGTGCGTACTTGCTCTGTAAGTTTCTCGTGCAAGTGCGTAATGACGCATCGGTCTTCCAGTGCTTCACCTCCCCTCCTCCCTCCTGTCACATCTGGATCTGGCTCCTCTCATCAGCACCACTCAGCGCAGTGGGAGAGAGAAAGAGAGAGAGAGGAAGGGAGGGAAACGACCGGAGAAGCGGAGGCTAGCTCGGTCGGCGCAGCTTTATCCACACCCGAGCAGAATCAAGGAGAGGAGAGCGGAAAGACATCTCACCTTCTCATCGGCACTCACGGATATTTTTGCATCTCCTCTGTCCTTCATCTGTCAGTCCAGCTTTCTTTTTTCTTCTGCTTCTCTTCCCTTCTCTTGTCTTGGGTATGATGATGAGCTCGAGTCTGCTGGAAAACCCTGTGCAGGCGATTCTGTACCTGCGCGAGCTCACCACCATCGTCCAGAACCAGCAGAGTCTCATCCAGACGCAGCGCTCCCGGATAGAGGAGCTGGACCGGCGGGTGGACGAGCTTATCGGCGAGAACAGGCACCTGCGGGACGTCAGGGTACAGCAGCATCCTTACCATCACCACCATAACCATCATCATCCCGACCCCAGCTGCCTTCATCAACACCACCACCCTACGGACCCCCAGCTCAACACGGGTACGGAGTCTCTGTCGGACCACGAGGCTGAACCAGCACAGGACGACGTTGCTCCGGAGGTCGACTCGTCGCCTTCCCAACCTATGGACCCTGGGGAAATGCAGCTGGTCCCGGCCGACCCGTCCACGGCTTCCCCGGATGAAAGTGACCCAGAAAACGGCGGAAGTTTCCAAAGCTGCCGCTCGTTGGTTCCGATGACCCCTACAACCCTTTGTCAATCCCTCTCAAGGAAATCAGAGTGAGTAGAGATTATGAGCTTGTTTTCATATATTTGTGTCGGTCCTAAAATAGTCAATTACAGAATATAGCTATGAAAGGTAAATATGAATGTTAAAATCTCCTCTGGTATTGAATTAGCTTAGTATTGACCTCAAAGTTAGGCTAAATCAGCCTGTCTTGAATTCTTCAGAATAGCCAATTTGTGTAGCATCCGTCAAAAACTGTTTAATGTTGAGGGTGCACGCGTGTGCGCGTGTCCTGCAGATTGAGAGGCGTTTAATTAAGGGAGAAGGCGCTTGCAAATTTCCAATTTTCAGCTATGAGTCGCGACTAAGGACTGTGCCAGAAGAGGAAGACGTTGATTATTAAAATGAGAAACTGGATCACGATCACTGGAACATTACATAACAAACAGCTGTAGGCCTGTGTGTGTGTGTGTGTGTGTGTGTGTGTGTGTGTGTGTGTGTGTGTGTGTGTGTGTGTGTGTGTGTGTGTGTGTGTGTGTGTGTGTGGGGGGTGTGTGTGTGTGTGTGTGTGTGTGTGTGTGTGTGTGTGTGTGTGTGTGTGTGTGTGTGTGTGTGTGTGTGTGTGTGTGTGTGTGTGTGTGTGTGTGTGTGTGTGTGTGTGTGTGTGTGTGTGTGTGTGTGTGTGTGTGTGTGTGTGTGTGTGTGTGTGTGTGTGTGTGTGTGCTGGAAACATTTACTGCACAGTGTGGTCAATGTCAGCTCGAGACAGGAGAACAGCTTCACGTGCGATGATGAGACACCGCGAGACGCTGTCCATGGCGCTGCTGCTGGTTTCTCTATTACTGCACGGGCGCTGTGAACTCTCACGGGACCTCTGGGCCTTGATGTTGCTGTACTATGATACACACACGCACGCGCGCGCGCGACACACGCACACACACACACACACACCCTGCTTGACACCAGAGCCTCATAGTATATCAGTACATCACCTAATGAGAGGAAACCCATCTTTTTCTCGTTCTGAGTGCATGCTTGTGTGTTCAGCTCATAAGTCGTATCCCAGCAGGAGTCCTGATTGGTCTCTCTGGGACCCCACCCCCACTGAGGGAGTAACACAAAACAGAGAAGGAGTTGAGAGGAGCAGAGGAGTGCAGAAGGGGAGACATTAAAAAAAAGGAGTTGTTGATATTGATCATGCAGTGAGTGATTCACCCAGCAACGCATTGCATTTCCTGCTCGGTAGTAGTGTGTGTTTGCATGTATGTGTGTGTGTGTGTGTGTGTGTGTGTGTGTGTGTGTGTGTGTGTGTGTGTGTGTGTGTGTGTGTGTGTGTGTGTGTGTGTGTGTGTGCGCCTGTGTGTGTGAATACGGTGCCTGTTGCTCTCTTCTAGCCTTGCATTAAACCTGAGCCTGAGTCGAACTCTCTTGAGAGTAACTATTTGTTATTAGTTTGACAGGAATCAGTGTAACACCACTGCTTTTTGATTCAAATGAGTTAAACCGGTGAGGAAGGAATTACAATAAACTAATTGTTATTTGAAAGCTGGAGGCAGAAAACAGCAGAGGCCTCCACCAGTTGACCCTGCAGCAGTGTCGGCTATTAAATGGTCTTCTTGCTCCTGCAGCAGCTGATTGTGTGTCCTTGAATGCAACCTTACATCCTCACCTTCGAAGTGATTTTAAGTCGCTCCGGATAAGACAAGTAGATTAACACCTGTTTTGCTTCTGGCAGGCCAGACAAGTGAGGGGGAGTTAAGGCTTCACTTGCATTTATAGAGGATTCACCTTCCTGTCATTGCCTGCTGCAAGATCAGCAGATCTGCTTTTCCTGTTGTCAGCCACTTATGTGTCAGCATTATATTGTGCTACAAACTGTATGTGGGTTTTCTGGGCCTTTGTTTACCTTTGAACATCTCATATTTCATTGAATGCATTTATCTGAATGTATGTCTAACTATAGAGCCCTGTTGTATTTGCCCTGCAGATAAATGACTTGTGGGCTACGTAGGGTTGGCTCTGAGTATGCTTGTGCACTTTGTGTTGTTGTCAGTGTAGTCAGTGCATGTGTATGTGTCCTATGGGGAGGTGGTTGGGGGGTGGGGGGGCACAGGATCCTCTCCTCCTCTCATTCTCTGTCTCTTTCCAGCTGAGCCTCCTATCTGCCCCACTTAGCCCATGGAGCGAACGGTAATCAGCCATTCTCAGGAGAGAGAAAGCCAGAGAAATATAAAGGGAGCGAGATGCACGCTCAGTCTTTGTCTTTGATGGAGCCCTTGGAGGTGTCGAGAGGAAGGAGCTGGAGGCTGACATTGGAGTGGACCTGTGAAAAGGAAGGAGTTGAGAGAGATTGGAGAAAAAGAGTGAGAGAGTTACAGGGATGGACCAAAACAAAGATAATAAAAGGGTGCATTTGAGGTAGCTGTCTCTCCAGTTTATCTATATTGCTGGTGGACAGATAGGTAGATTGGACAACAGAGGGATAGGCTGTGGCGCAGTGGGCGGTGCACACAACTTACACACTGCTTTGAATAGAAATGGAGCCGATCTTTTTCAACATAACGTTTAAAGTACTCTTAAAAGAACTGGACAAAGAAGAGGGATTGTGAGAGGGAGGCCGCGACACAGAGAGGGAGAGAGAGAACATGGGCCGACAGCAGGAGACATGTACTGTTAAAATATTCACCTGTTATCTTTGTAAGCGTCTCTGGAGGCGGTGGCCTTCATGTGTGTGTCTTGTAGACAGATGATGAACAGACCCATTGATTGTGTGTGTGTGTGTGTGTGTGTGTGTGTGTGTGTGTGTGTGTGTGTGTGTGTGTGTGTGTGTGTGTGTGTGTGTGTGTGTGTGTGTGTGTGTGTGTGTGTACTAAGGGACCCCAGCAGTTTGGCCTTTTCCTCAGGGCAAATGTTTTCTATGAGCCTGGCAAAACAATTCAGCGTCATACTGATTGGACAGTGATACACTTTGCATGTTCAGTGCTTTTAGCGAAGTTAATTAATTGTAATTCTTTCTCTTCTGTCAACCAACATCAGATGCACATCAGATAACATTTAGTGTGACCTTAAGACCCCCAAAACTGGCAACACATTGACATTTATATATATAAAAACAATTAGTTTGTATATGTAATGTTATGAAGAAGAGATTAGATTAAAGATATGCTTTAAATCAGACTTTTGCCATCATAATGGATTATTTATTCTATCAAAAAGTGCAATAAAGACCTATTATGTGCTGATCAAGAAACTAAAAGTAACATTGAACAAATATTTAAGGGGGCCAGATTATGCAGAGGTTCTGTTTTCATATTAATATTTGTGCCTCTACTGTGGCATGTTTGCATGCTTTAATGCTCTTTATTTTTCTCATCCAGCCTGTGTTGCAGCACCTTTTCACCCTCTGTCTGAAACCAGAGCCCAGTCTGCTCTGATTGGTTAACTGGCCGACTCTGTTGTGATTGGGCAACCACTTAGAGATGTCCCGCCTCTTAACCTATCATGTACATTGTGTTGGAGCGCTAACCAATAGAGGAGCAAGTGTTACTTAGTGATGTCACTATGTAACAGAAGTAAACAAAGGATACCAATCGTGGGGTTCCAGGCAGGGGTGTGGGAGAGAAACTCCCTCAGGACGGAACACAGGGATTTTAGCCTTTG